GGAGACAATATCTTAGTCTTCCGGAATGGCTACGCTAGTGATATCGACACCACATGATAACGTGATGTCCATAGTGCTATTCATATACATAGACGACGGAGCATACATACATATATACTGAGTCCGTCAGCACGTTTGCCACTTTAATTGGGTAGGTACTTAAAAAAACATTTTTACCTAGATATTGTTTTTAGATTAAGATCAGAAAATATTATCCTGACTGTAATATGTAGTATGTTGCGTGTAAACGTGCCGGATTAATACTCTTATTGTAAGAAAATATAACGCGTAAAATATACGCGTACACACACAGTGACTGACATACCACATGCAACATTTTGAAAGCTAGGTACAGGTAGGTATAATGATGAATAGAAATAAAGCGGAAATATTTAATAATTTTGTAGCCAATTTAGTAGCCGCCTATGTACCTATTTGAGTTAATTAACGAAAAATGTGGATATGAATATTAAATATGTAGGTATATACCTACCTACCTAGTTAATAACTTGTTATAGCAACTCTGTCGTCATATCCGGTTTCCTTTGATTGTAGTCGTATTTTGTTATTAACAAGTGATGTTTTTAAATAGGTATTAAATCTTAGTACCTATCAGTTAACAGAATAATTATCTTATGAGGTTTTATGATAGTCAATATAATAATATTTTCAATTGGTATGTTTTTCATAAACATAACAATTGTATTTTATACGTTTCAAGTCTTTACATATTAGCCCGCCTCCTTCCTGGTCATAATATGGCGCCAGTCAGTATGCAAACTCACTAGATTGACTTAATTGTTGCTGATCAAGAACGGAATATTCCGACTGTCTAAAGTGGTAGTGGCAGTGACTTAGTAATTGACAGTTGGCACGAGACGACTCCTTTTCAACGACTTTCATATTTTCAATATTATCAGTTTTAATAATTCTATACCACATAGATACATTGGCGAATAGTATTAACGACTTATATAGATTGTGCTGGATTGCTATCTAGTGGATAAAATAATTATATCAGTTGAGACAATATTAGTAGATAATTTGAAAACTAACATTGGAGTAAAGCCTATTGAAACTTAAAAAAAATCACATTGAGAAAATCTTCCATTCTAAAACTTGGAAAAATAAATAATGAATTATTTGTATAATTTCATATAGGTATTGAGCTATTACAAAATAATAGATTTCAGTTTTACAGACCTACATGCAGGTGTTTCATAATCCAGACTATGGTCTGGATTCTTTCCTGATTGTGAATATATATTTCGCTAGTATACCTCTCGCTCCCATTTTGACCACATATAATATGTATGTATATTACTATTTTCGAAAATAAAAATATCGTATATAAATAATACTGGTAGCGCCAGGTTAAGCAAATATAGTTAATAATCATTTAATAAAAATAAATAAAATTAGGTAAAAGTGGCATTGTGATTAACTTATAGATATGTGGTGAAAATGGGAGCGAGAGGTATACTATCGAAATATATTCACAATCCGGAGAGAACCGCAACTCACCTTCAGTTTAGACATAGGTTGTCAAGGGACCCATTAAACCTACACCCAGGCCACAAGTCCCGTTAACTGCTCTTTCTGCCACACGATAGACACGGCTCCAGTACGGCGAATTCATGGAATGCTAAGAAGCTCGTCCATAAATAATTAGGTTTTTATATTTAATGAAAAATATATTTTTTTTAATTAAATATCTCGTAATCTGTGATATTAATCAGAATTTACATTATGTCGATTGAGATTACCGCATTTACCATAACTATTATCCCTAATTCATGATGATGCGGTTTTCTTGTAAATAGGCGTGATATTTACAAGAAAACCACATCATAATGAATTTAGTTTTCATGTAAAAATTTGTAAATACTTTTAAGTAAGTATTATTACTTTTTTCGGCTAAATCAGTGTCAAAATAGTTTAGGAGAACTAAAAATATTATATTAATATAGATTGTGTGTAGTATGTTGTAAAGGTACCTACTAATGTTATAAAGGTACCTACTAAAATTCACTTCACTGTTGTCATAGGTAGGTACACTTTTTTTTTTTTTTCCATATTCGTTCATCTCCTTTTCAGTGATGGAACAGGCAAAGATCCTTAGACCGTACAGCCTAGTCTACTTTTAAACTTCTTCATATTTGAACAAGTGATGAGGCCAAAGGCCAATTCTTATGTATATTTATTTATTATGTTTTCATTCGTGTTCAAAATTTAAGTCTTATCCGTAGTCCATATCCTTGTATCAATTATTTAAAGTTTCATCGATATCGAGGTAACGTATAAATATATAGGTATATATGTTTCAAAATTAGTTAGCATGTCTTGGATGTCGCGCGGGATTTTTTCCGGTTTCTTGTAAATGTTCAGTAAATTATCAATAAAGACCAAGCGTTGAATATTATAAGCGGAACATTCGAAAAATATGTGATTTAGGGTCTGACTGCTGTTATTGCACTCTTGACATGCATTTGAATCAATTATTTTCATTCGGCACAAATGACTATTGAATCTAGCGTGACCAAAACGAAGTCGTATAAGGAGTGTGTAAAATTTCCGGTTTTTATAAACTCTAGATTTAGTGAACCAGGGAGAGGAATGAATATTTTTGTTAATGGAGTAAAACCAATTACCCTTGGTCTTTAGCGAAAGTTGCCACTGTTCAATCCATTTTTGACGAAAACTCTTGTAAACTATAGAAAGAATGTCGGAATAAGGTATGGCAACATCCTTGACAACGCCAATGTCATTGTTGGTGATAGTTCTTGCCAGGAAATCTGCGTTTTCATTACCGAAAACACCAATATGTGATGGTGTCCATAATAAAATAATATCATAACACTCCAATGAGAGCTCATATAATATTTGCTTAATGCTATCTATGATATAATTGGTTTTATAATGTAGTTTGTTACTTTGAAGAGCAGTTAAAACACTCATACTGTCTGTGACAATTAACCATTTTTTGCAATTGCCCCTATCATCTTTTATATAACAAAGTGCATTTAAAATAGCCAAAGATTCTGCTGAAAAAATACTAAATTCTTTATGTATTCTAGTTCCATGACCGGTTCTGATACTTGGTAAGTATAGAGCAAAGGATGTTCTCGATTCGTTTTTAGAACCGTCTGTAAATATGGATTGATGAGTTGAAAATGTAGACAACTTGTTATAAACTTCTTGTTTGGTCCTTAACTCAGAGTCAATTACAATATAAATATTTGGAAATTTACTTTCAAATGGTCCATGGTAACAATTCCAAAATCTATTGCTTTTGTGAATTTTGTATTGCTGATCAATATTGATTGAGTCAGAGAAATCATGAAGTATATAGGGAACTGTTTTAGAATTAGAAAGGGGAAATAAAGAAGTAATATGTTTGAGCTTTTGTAAGAGTGGGTCTTCAGAAAAGGATAATAATTTTAGGATGAATCTTTGTTTTAAGTACCAGAATCTCAGGTTTAATGGTGGTATATAGCACTCTACTTGTAAGGAATTTATAGGGGTTGTTTTCATTGCACCAGTTATGTATCTTAAATTATTATTCTGAAGTACTTCAAGTTTATGAAGCTTGTTTTGGTCAGAACCAAAACATAGATAGCCATATTCAAAGTGGCTGCGAATCAAGGATTTGTACAGCATTAAAAGGATCTTAGGATCACATTTATATAGAGCTTTGATAATATTAAATGCTTTGGAAGCTTTACCTAGTAAATAATCAACATATTTGTTCCAAGACAAATTGCTACAAAAAATAACACCTAAAAATTTAACTTCAGCAGTAATAGGTAGTTGTGAATTATTATATAATATTTTAATGTTTTTGTATGATTTATTAGTTTTAGAAAATATTACTACTTTAGATTTGTCAGGGCTTACATCTAAATTGAGGTATTTAAAGTAATCTGTTAATCTTAACAATGCATTACTTATTATTTCTGTAACTTTATTAATGTCTGGGCCTGAAAAGTATATAACAAGGTCATCTGCAAATTGAAGATTCCTGACATGCGGTCCTAAAATTAAATTAAGTTTGTGTATGTAGAGGATAAAGAGTAATGGACTAAGTATTCCACCTTGACACACACCTTTATAAGAAAGACGAGGTCCTATTAACTGCTTGTTAACTTTAACAAAAACTTCTCTACCATTTAAAAAGGTATAGACCCAGTTTATAATTTTTCCAGGTATACCAATAGAAACAAGTTCCAGAGTGAGAATGTGATGATTGACATTATTGAATGCACCGATAATATCAAAGAATACCCCAATCAAAACTTCATTGCATTTAAGTGCTTTAAATATATCAATATGAAGATGAGTAACACTCTCAGAGGCAGATTTACCTCTACGAAAACCAAACTGATTTGCTGGCAATAAACAATTACTCTCTATGTAGAATTCTAGTCTTTGTTTTAATAATTGCTCAAATATTTTTCCCATGCAGGAGGTCAGAGTTATAGGTCTATAGGAATCTATTTCATTTGCATTTTTGTTTGGTTTTAAAATTGGAATAATACAATCTTTTTTCCAATCGGAAGGAATAAGTGAATCTTTCCACAGTGCATTATAAATACATAAAACAATATTTTTAGAGTTATAAGAGAGGTTTTTTAATAATTTATATGCTATGCCATCGAGACCAAATGCTGTATCTCTTCGGGTAGATATGGCTGCATTAAATTCATAAAAAGTGAAGGGTTTATTTAAATAATTTAATTTGTTACTATTTTCATTAATGTGTGATTTAAATTGGGTCTCGACAGTGTCAGGAGTATATTTTTTAAGAAAATTAGAAATCCAGTTATTATTATTTGAAATCTGACTATATACATAAGTTTTATTGAATTTTTTAACAGTATTCCAAATTTTGGAAATGGGTGTGGTGCGATTAAAATTTTGACAAAACCTATTCCAGCTAATTGGTTGTTCTCTTTTAAGTATTAATTTTTTTTTGGCTTGTAACCTTTTAAAAGCAATAAAATTTGCCTCTGATGGGTCGTTTTTAAAATTAACATATGCCTGTTTAGAGTTATCTACTGCAAGAGTACATTTTTGATTCCACCAAGGTAATGGAATCCTTTTATTTTTAAAAGGAATATCATTTGTAGAGCTTATGGGTTTTGATTTTGATATACAACATTTGTCTATAGCTAAATTTAAAATATCAATTAATTTAGTATAACACTGCAGGGGTGAATTACTATAAGTGTAAAGTGTAAAATCTTGTAACAAACTATCTGTGGTCTTCTTATACACAGTCCAATCTATAAGATTGTAATTATGAAATTTGGGATAATCTAAGGATTCTGGTAATCTAGAGCAATTGTTATCAATTACTATTTTTGTTATTACAGGTAAATGGTAGCTACCTAAGGGATCATTATGTACTATCCAATGTGAAGCAAGAGATATGCAAGGGGATGCAATAGTAAGGTCAAGCGCATTACTCTGCCATCTGTGTGATCCTACTGTAGTCGGTGTACCATCATTTAAGAGGACCAAGTTGTTACCATCAATACATTCAAGAATGTCACGACCGCGAGCATTAATAGACGAGCAACCCCATGCTGTGTGATGAGCATTAAAATCACCAGCAACCAACATGGGCTCTGGAATACTATTAAGAAGATTACTGAATTTATTTTTGTTAAAACGTGGACTACAATTATTTGGGCTATAAAAACTAACAACTGACATTTCTGTGTTTTTATATTTTAATCGTACCGCAATATTCTGTAAGGAATCATCACTATATGTATCAATTTTACTGAATTCTATACTTTTATGAACTAAAATTGCAACGCCGTTGTGGTCATTGCCTGAGTCTAATCTAACAATGTTAAAGCCTTTAATATTTAATTTATAGTAGGCTTTTAGCCAGGTTTCTGATATCAGAGCAATATGAATATTGTTCTCCAATAGAAAATGTGTAAAGATTTGTTGATTACTTACTAAACTTTGTGCATTCCACTGGACTATTACTATATGGTCCATAAAGAAATAAAAAGTTAAAGAAAGAAAGATTAATCTGGGTTTTTTTTTATTCTGTAATGTCTCTAGGAGAACTTGTTTTATATTTTCTGTACATATTGTTTTGTCATTGGTTCTATTCAATGTTATAATTTTAACAATTGATTCTAATAGGGTATTTAAAATTTGGTCAGAATTAAGTAGGGATATAAATTGTGCCGAAGGTGAAGTTTTGGTACTGCCTAATTGAGGAAATGATTTCTCTCTAACAATATCAGCATAACTTTGTACTTTATTTTTATTCTCCTCTATTTTCTTTTTCTTAATAGGACACTATGATGAAATGGCTATATGATTACCATTGCAGTGACAACATTTGGCTTCGTTAATATTTGCCGAACAGTTTCTGAAATTATGATTATTTCCGCATACTGAGCATCTTTCAGCGTTCTTTCAAAACTTAGCGATGTGACCATACCTTAAACATTTAAGACACTGCTTTACAGGAGGTATGTAAGGCCTCACCACAAAGCGCCAGCTATTCAGGTCGACGGTGTCAGGAAGTACAGGACAGGAAAATGTGATGGAGACGGTTTTAGTTGGCTGCATTGTAAAGGTGTTATCATCACCTTTAATACGCCTCATGAATCTGCGTACACAAACAATATTTTTTGAGCTGGTTATATTAGAGTATATTTGTTCGTTCGATAGATGCGTAGGAACATGCTGAACTACTCCAGTTACTTCCGTGGCTGAAGCTGGTATACTTGCCTTTAATTTAAATCCGTCTAGAAATTTTTTATTAACTAAGGCTGCATTAGCTAAACCGGGGCGTTCAAAAATGACGCCGATCTTAAATTTATTCATCCTTAATAATTGCTTAACTCCTTTATTATATTTTTTCAAATTAGTAGCTAAGGACATCATATCCCTATCACCGATTGGCTTATTACTATCTGTACTCTCCATAAATACAATGTATTCAAAGTTTCCACCATCCTCAGGATAGTACCGAACATAATCTGGTATTTGAAATGCCTTATACTTATCCACATCCTCAGGTGCGCATTCCGAGTCAGACCCTAGAAAATTAATATCATCGGATGTATCATCCGATATTTCCTCTTTCTTTTTTCGCTTCTTCCCGCTCCTCTTCGTCATCTTTACTAGTTTTGACTAAAAAAACTCAATAAAATATTATTTTCCAAAACTAGCGCGAAAAAATACGTGTAGTCGCTTTGAAAGTTCCCGCGCTTTTCCAGGTAGGTACACATAATCGAAACTTACGGTCTAGTGCTGGCAAAAGCAATAGATATGATTAAAAAAATGATTTTATTGAATAATTTAATTAATCTGTTGAATGTTTCAATTTGTTTCACTAAATTAACTAATCATCATAATCTGTTAAAATTTAATTAATAATTAAAATGAATCTATTCAATTGTTACTTTTTTATTAACATGTAAAAATTTTATATAATTTTATTCGTTATATAATTATAACGAATAAAATTATAATATCTTTATTTTTAATTCTTAACCCTTTATCTATGCCATACAGTCTAAAAGCATCACAAAAGTACAATATTCTTATTAATATTATATCACTTTGTAATAATTAAGTTAGTTATAAAGAGAAGACATATTGTTCGACATTTAAAATTGGGATGTGACGTCTTTATGAATAAGGCAGTTAGTCTTTCCTAAATTATTTTGGTATTATTAGCATACAATTGAAAACAATTGACATCACTGGCGACGTTTTTATGGGAATCTCGTTATTTAAAACTGATTATAGCATTGTAGCTAATAACAGTTTTAAAGTGTGTGGTTTTGATCATATTCTGTTTACAAATACATATTTATAGTGTTTTCCCAGTCTCGGTAAAGTTTACAAATGTGTATCTATAAATTTGTTATAAAAAAGTATTTTTGTATAAGAATACATTTCTACCTATATTTATTTGTTATACCTTGATTCCATTTTATTAATATTATTTTGTAATAACGGTGCCTTAATCTGGTTACAGTTAACCGAATCCGGAACATTACACAAAAGTTGCTTAAGATCTGTGTGTAATGTGATAAACGAACTCGTCGAATTTTCTGGATTGCTTTCACGGTGTGTATTGGTACCCACTCATTGCAATAATGGCGTCTCGTAGGTGTTTTGTTTCATAAACAATAAAAACAGGGCGCGCGGAAAATTACTTTAGACGGCTATAGTGTCATCGACACATCCATAAGACATGTGAATTCATCAACTGACTTCTTGGTATTCAGACCATTGTTGTGTTTGAAATTCTAATTTGCCTTATGGCATTTGCGTAGTAGGTACTGTTTTTTATACTTACGCAGAATTTGTTACGATTCGTTGTCATAATTAGTGGAATATCACGTTATAAAATGAACCAATTCAAAAATTAAATTTCTAACGTCTGTTGTATAGTCAGTCAGTGTTTTTTTGCTTGGAACAAGTCACATTATAAGTATTGGGTAATTTGGATTTTTTTTATTGGTCTATTTACGTTTATATAGTTTCAATAAGTATAAAAGACACAGGAAAAGCTGTAACGGAATAAAACGCAATATAATAATCTTAAATGTTGTTAAATAACTTTGGTTCTCATACTGTAAAATATCGATTAATTTCTAGTTATTTTCATAAATTTACTCAAATGTTCTAAATGTTTGAAAATGTTTTTTATTTCATTTAATCTTGGATGATGGATGGATGAATGTATGGATTGATTGGTACAGGTATTTATGAAAGCCTTTATTAAGCAAAATAATGAATAATATATAATTATTTGTTTAATTTTAAGACTGTAAGAACAATGTGTACCTAATTTACAACGCCATATAATTTTATATCAAAATAAATACTTTAATCGGTTTTGGTATTTAGATACCTATATTTTATTAGATAAACTTTGTAGTTTACTTCATAACACACAAACTGTCTATTTTATTTTGAGAAATAGTTTCGAGTTAATATTTTTCAAAGAACTTTCCAAATAAAAACAATAGAGCGAAACAAATGCTCAAAGCATTGTCAGAAATCTGTAGTTTCATTAAAACAATGTCTAAGTTTGAGTAAATCGTAGATTTTTAATGGAATCAAGAATATATAGGTCTACAATTAATTGATGATAGTGAAGTACCTACAGTTGTTTTTTAGATCTCATGTCATTGCGGTCCCAGAGTTGCATCCGCTACATCAATCGGCTTTATTTTCCTGGTCAATAACTATCAGGTGTCAGCCTGTGTGACATTGAAATTGTTCTCGATATCTTAAAAAGGCAAATCAAAGATTAACGATGGAGACTTGACTTTATAAAAGGATGGAGAGCAGACATGTTTCCTGTAAGTATGTAGTGCTTTAAAGGCCATATGTTATATATAAATAATTTCGCCATTCGCCATTGTTGTGAGGCGGGAGACAAGGGACAGTGACGCGGATATTCTGTTTTTCAAGATAGATAAAATGTAGATAATATATAGTTACTCTACTGAGGAACTGTTCAATATTTCTTTTGACTTAACTGCGATCGTTTGATCTAGGCATCGGAAAGTATATGAGTCTAGAGATAAACATATCCTATATATAAATCTATCATCAGCTTTAAGTAGCTACATAAATATGTAGGATTTTCCTACTGATTACAGGTACTATAGCAATAGAAAGAAGAAAACAATGTTATCAGTGACGGCATAGATAGGCATGGCACGCCTTTTTTATAACAAGGATATAAACAATGTTCATGGGTCCAATGTTCTAATGTATTATTTAATACATTTTATAGATAAAGAAAATATTAAAAATGTGATAAGCACTATCATTTACTAATTACGTTGTAGGCTGGTCTTGTATCTACTTAATAATTAAGGTGTGTCGTTGATATATTATTGAAGGTACACAATAATTGTAAATTTAGTGATTATAAAATCAACAGTCTAAAGGTTTCTACCTACAGTTGAAATGTCTTTAATCTTTATCAACGGCTGACGCAATATTTATTCCAACCAAGGTTGTGAATGCATCGAAAGTATTACTGTTTGCGTTGGAGGCCCGTGATTGGTTGACAGTGGAGGCCTGGCCGGGTGTGGCGAAACGTGTTGTTATGGCTCCATTTAAATCCCACCGCGCACCGGTTTACAATGGTATGCTGAGGAAACAAAAAATATGTTACCAGGAACTGTCTGAATGTCGGAGTATATTCACAAAGTCATGAATAACAGACGCCGTTCGCTTTTTTTTATGAAAAAATCTAGCAGGCATATCTTAAACATACGTATAGAAAGGTAAGATGTTACGGGTTGGAAATTGGATAGCATCAAAAACTACCTGCTTGTAATTTTTTTTAATTAGCTATTTCTTTAGGGAATATAACTACAACTTTCTACAACAATTCTACAACTTTGTGGTATGGCTAAAGAAGTATGGGTAAAGTTAAAGAAGTTAATAAAAAAAAACTTTTTGTATTAGGTATGAGGAGTGGATAGAAAATATAGTTTCTGATGATCATGAACTAAATAAATAAAAT